ACGGGTAAGATTAGCCATAATGTAATTATCTTAATCTTCACTATCGTTACTTTTTGCCCAGCGAAGCGGGTCCTTGCAGCTAGATTCTAGATTATTTAGAAAAACAGTCTTTTATATATATAAAAAAACTATATTACATACAAATGTACGAACAAATAAAAACCCAGCAAAGCGGGTCCTCGCAGCTAGTAAATAAATAAAAATGTTAATGGTTGAAGAGAGTAGTGGTAGGGGGAGGTGGGTTAAGTACTTTTAGCGTTAGAAGGAAGGTCGAATGATCGTATAGAAACAGGTTAAAAGTTGATAGTGAGTAATATTATTGGTGAGGTTGAGCATGTTTTGACATGTTATCTGAAATACTAGGAATAAATAATAACAACCCGCTGTTGGATTAGATCATGTTTCAACAAGCTAAATAAGTTCAGTATCTCGCTGGCAATCTAATGCCACACTCAGTTTTTATCCAGCATTCGAACGGTACTGTGCTTGTATTTTTGACAAGACTATGTCTTGTTTATAAAATCGTACTGCCCGATTTTCTTACCAGCAAAGAGGTATGAAGGAGTACATATCGAGAGTTGATATTTGGCACAGAGTATTAGGTGTCCAAATCATTTGCGCATAAAATATCCAGACCCGTAGGTAGTCGGGGGACCGAGAATCCAGTCAAAATAAAATATAAAATGGCTACCCTCTTCTACAAACAGGCAAAACAGCCACCTCACCCCACCGAAGTCAGGTAGGGGAGAGTACCACCCACAGTCATTCTAAGAAGTGAACTCTGATCTTAGGACTGAACACGTAGTTTCTTCTATGTTAAATAAATTTTGTAATCTAATTTTGTAAATTTGGGAGTGCTTCAGATATGTCGTTACAAGTGGTTTTTTTAAGCATTATCTAGTATAGTAAAATCGTAGGACCAATAAAAATTTGACGTTATATTCGATGACATTATAATCGGGTTAAACTGTTAGGCATCGACAAAAATTCAACCCGGGCCGACACGCAACGGAGAGAAATTTTGAAATTAGATAGGTTAATTTCATCGAAGATGCATCGTGGACTATCTCGTAGTCGTGGCCGACGAAGTTTGAACGATCGCGCCCAAAAACAGCGATACCAAAGAAGATCGGAGAATAAGAAAGAGACCTGCCTTGAGCATCAAAGTGATTTCGTCTCCGAGGCTTTCCGACAGCTTCTGTTATGTTTGCGGTGAATACACAGTGAAAACTCAACAAAGAAACATAAGTGAGTTTGTGAAGAAAGTTTATTTTGCGTATTTCAAATTGAAACATGGAGATCAAGACAAAACATGGGCTCCGCATAAGGTGTACAGAAGATGCGAGGAAGATCTTCGTTTATGGTTTAAGGGTAAGAAAAACTCATTTCAGCTGTAGTATCAGCTGTAGTGTGGAGGCGGCAGGGGCGGCCCGCCCAGGGCGGCACTTTTTAGGGGGCGGCAAAATTACCTTTCAGGGAGCGGCAAAACTTCACAATAAATAATAATAATATCTTGTAAAATTTGAAACATCCTAATCTATACTTGCATCTTGCCTACGATAGTGCTATCGTTCCGACAGTCCGGGAATCGGCTCGCCAGGTGAACTAGTGACTTTTTCATTCGAAGAGCTCCTGTGAAGCCTGTTGACCTTTTTTTTTCTTTTGCTTGTACGATTCATTCGCGTTCATATACTCCACTAATATCCAATAGAACTATTTTAAACAGGTCACTGCACTACCACCGAATTTTTCATTGCTTGTTCTGTGACAAAACTGAATTTTGGTCTTTTAAGTTGAAATACCTAAATAAGGGAGGTTCCGAAAATTTCCTTTGCCCAGTCGGCTGACACCTACGGTACGCCACTGTGTAGTATAGATTACCACCTATGGAATTTCGTGACTTTGAGTAAATATTTGAACTCAGGGGACCGAGACGAGTTCAACGGTACCCTACTTTTGGAGGGAGACGAAAAATAAGACAGAGCATATTTACAATTTCTTGCCTTTCACAGTGCTTTTTTTAATAGTTTGCAGACTTTATTGCAAGATGGCAGTACTAGCAACTACGGTGTCATCTGCTTAATTTTCTTTTTTCTATTTAGGGAAGTTATTTATTTTAATTCAATTTTATTTCTTTAATTAAGTTAGGTTATATAAGTTAGTTAACTTAGTTAAATAACTTAACCTAAGTTATTTTTCGTCTTCGGTCCAAAAGTAGAGTATCGTTAATCTCGTCTCGGTCCCATCAGTTCAGTTCCGAAATTCCATAGGTGGTAATCTATAGTATCCCCCTCATTTCGTTTTGGAATTCCTGTGATATGACGTGAACAGAAAAATCACAACCGACTGCTACTTCTGTTCAGTAGATGTTAAAAGATTAATACAAAAAATAAAAATACAGTAGACCCCCCTATAACGCTTAGATAGGTTCCACGCTAATCGAATTTTACGTTGTATAAATGATTAAATACATGAGCCAATCGCAGCCCGATAAGTGTGAACTTTACGGACTAAGGCTGTTTGAAAAGTTTTCTTCTATAAAATTAACCGATTTTAGACTAATTCCACTCAACATTTCCAAAACACGTATAATTTTTTGGGAATAATCTGTATAAACTATGCTATAAACAAAAAATTATAGGATTACTTACCGAGTGTGCACCATTCGATTACGCACGTTGTTCAAAACTTGTCTTCGTCGTGGAACAGCACACGAAACGGCGGCCGCGATTTCTGATAAATAATTTTTCGCAGAAAAATAACTTGACCTTTGGAGACATCATTAATATAAATAATTTTTATGGCCGTTGAATAAGAAGTGTTTCTTTCACAAGAAATGTATAAAATTAGTGCTGTATTAGACTTACGGTACCTAATTTACATACTGTACAGACGATAATAAACTCAACTTACTAGCCTAAAATCTCCGTAGCATGGCGCTAGACAGCGGAAATTATATATATAATTATAATAAAGTTATAATAAATTAAGTTAATATATAATTATATATACAGTACCTAATTTATATATAATTAATATATAATTATATGTACAGTACCTAATTTATATATAATTTATATATAATACTGTACAGACGATAGCAAACTCAATTTAGCCGCTCCGTAGCGTGGTGCAGGGTCGGAGGCAAGTAGTTCGACTGCTCATCCACTATTGGTCCAGATTCTATCAATTTTGTCGCGAAACGACGTTATAGGAGTACTTTATACGAATGTTGCTACAATTTTTTCGCTACGTTATAGGAATTGTCGTTATAGGAACGCACGTTATAGGGGGTCGACTGTAAAATATTTTACCCTAACCTTTACTCAGCTATTCGTCCAGTATCCCATGGTTCTGAAATACCAGTTCCACAGTCACCTTCTAATTTAGATGACATCCTGAGTGAGTCAAAGGACTCAGACACAGTAGCTTCCCAGGACGAATCTAGCTCAGATTTTTCTGTTGGCGGACCTCAACTTTTTTCTCAGAGTGATTTCAACAACCTAGTAAGAGACTTAGGTCTTTCAAAAGACCTAAGTTTCTTATTAGGATCAAGGCTAAAAAACAAAAGCCTGCTATCATCTCGGACCTCATTTTCGTGGTACAAACATCGAAGAGAGAGAATTAACTCAGTTTTTCTCCAAAGAGGGAAATCTGGTTTATTGTAATGATGTTCATGGGCTCATGGAGTGCGTTGAAATAGAATATGATTCATCAGAATGGCGCATATTCATTAATTCGTCTAAAACTAGCCTCAAAGCAATCTTGTTACATAATGGAAATGTATTTGGATTTCTTCCTATGGGACACTCGGTTCATATAGGAGAAAACTATACTGACTTGGCTATGATTCTTGAGAAAATCAAATATCAAGAGCATCAATGGATGGTTTTGTGGAGATTTCAAAATACTAACCATGTTGTTGGGTCAGCAGGGAGGTTATACAAAATATCCTTGCTTTCTTTGTTTATGGAATAGTAGAGCGAGACAGTTGCACTGGACAAAAACTGACTGGCCACCAGTTTAAGTTGACTGGACAGTTTAAGGGCTTAAGTAAATTAATTAATTAGAAGAGGGAGTTTTCACTGGCCCTGACATAAGAAAACTTTTATCTGATTATCTCTTTTTGGAAACAATAGGAGAAAAGGAAAAAAAGCACGGGACTCTTTCAAGAATATAGTGCATAAGTTTTTGAGGAATACTAAGGACCCTGACTACAAAATCATTGTACAACGCATGCCGGCAGCATATGTAGCTCAAGGATGCAAGAGGAGCTTAAAAGTTCATTTCTTACACTCCTATATTGACTATTTTTCCGAAGACTTGGGAGCCTACAGTGAAGAACAGGGTGAAAGATTTCATCAGAATGTCCGTGATATCGAGAGACGTTACCAAGGAAAATGGGATGCCAATATGTTAGATGATTACTATTGGATGCTCAATCGAGAAACCAGAGAAGGAAATCGGAAATATGTTCGGAGAAGCATCAAAGAGAAGAAGAAAAGGTGTTATAAGAAAAAAGAGTAGGCCTAAAATTGTGTATAAATATCAGAAACAATGTTTTGATTAGTTGTAAGAAAATATAATATACTGTATTTAGTTCATTGTAATAAATAAGAGTTTTTATTAAAAATTCGTTTTTATTTTGCAAAAAAACCTATACGTGATGGGATGTTACAGAAGTCATTTTTAGAATCTCCGATCTTTAAAACATATAATTCAGCAAAAATATCCCATGCAGCTGGAAATTTTTTTGCAGACTTGTGTTATTATCATACAGGTTGTTTAATTAACGTTTACGATAACGCCTGTATTGAGTTATTTAATTCAACCGTTTATATTACCAAATTAACTTTAGTTGTTAGATACAGCATGACAATATGAATCACGATGGCTATTGTCAAACAATCAAGGTCGCATATTTGTTCAGCCGATACTATTAATTTATAATATAATATAGATAATTCTAATTTTATTGTCAGTTCTTATATAATGCTTATCCAATATAATGTATTTATTTTTTAACGATTTTTAACAAAAAATTGTAGCCTATACCAGGTCTCGATTTATATTACAACGTATTTTTACGGTAAGAATGTTTTAAATTACGTATTTAATTAGAAGTTAAATGTTTAAATTCTTAACGCTTATTTATATTTTTATGTATTAAATGTAAATAATGCCAGCCATGAATTTTATTATTTTTACCTAAAAGAAATTTAGTTACGAAGTTATTAATTCTAATTTTCATAAAAATTCTTATAACAAATCCGAATTAGCTGAGACGGTTAATGTGTCAGATCTAAAAAAACTCTGGATCATCTAAGCGAGCAATTTTGCAGCAAATTTTCGTTTGGGGTCTGTCCTTCACCACCCGGCTGCCCCCATATTGGCCTGACCGAACACGCCCGAAGATTTGCATAGCGAACACTACTATTTATGACACTACTTGATCGAGGATATGCGTTACCTAATTTAGGGGTAGGTGGCATTACGTAATTTATGAACGATCCCATATACTGATTCCTAAAGATTCTTATAATTATCTAACAAAAGCAAATACGATCCATATTGAAACATAAAAGGAATATAAAGATGTATATTATGTATACATGTACTTTGTATTATAGGGCGTGATTACGCGTCACGTCTTCTAATAATTTAATACAAAAATAAATTTTAGAATCAGTTTTTTTAAACACATTTTTTTTAATCAAAACCTCCGTTCTTTTTCAGACACAAATGCAAAAGAGACACGAAAACAAACTGAAAAAGAACTAAGTTATTTACCCTTCGTACTTGTTGATGACTATACTTTTACATTTTTACACCGTTTTTATTGTAACTTTTATTGTATATATATATATTTGGTGATTATTTATTTAAATTTGTATGTATTAGAAATATCTTTGATTTCTTCCAGGCAACATTTTTCCTGTTGATAGCTTAATATATGTTAAGTAGACAGTCATGTTTACGTTCTATAGAACAAATGATTGATTGATAACGAACCGAGAAGCAATTGTAAAGGTATGTATTTGCTTATTTCTCATTTTTGTAGCGTTGACAGATAATTAATAGATATTTTATATATAAACATCGTCACAATGTCGGGCTGTAATTTTTAATCATATTGTTAATTCATTTAATTTAAAATATTGGCCTTGACATTACTAGTGTCTTGCCCCTGTACATCATACTTTTCCTGTTAACAATAGTCGGTCGATCATCTATCTAACTCTATTTAGGGGAAGCATTTTAAATTGAAACAATGTGACTTTCAGTTTGCATCGGAAGTTTGAATATATTTAATCGGGGCCTGCTGCTTCAAAGTTTTCTATATCTTATAAGCCGAAATGCACTTTACATGGGTCAGAATAGTCACGATAAATTAGCTTTATGAAAGTTTTAATATTTGATAACTCATTATAAATAACTATTATTTAATAGTAGAATATTGAACTTGACAATAACAGGGAATTAGAAGCTTACTAATTAGGATTAATTTCGTTGAATTATGATAATTTTTTTATATTCTTTTAAAAAACAATATTAAATGAAGCGTGCAATGCCATAACGTTATAAATGCCATTTTTTCTCTAAATACGTTTTATTGAAGAATTGAATTTTAAATACAAGTTCTCTGATGAAAAAAAATATTGTCGCAGTATTTTGAAGTTGAATTTATGTTAAGCTATAAGGCATTGCACGCATTGTGAGGCTTTATTATTAATTATTATAAAAAAGAGAAAACCTTTGAAGTGAGTGTGTGTTTAAATTATAAATGCTAATATCGTGTAAAATTTTCATTAAGTCTGACTAATATTCGCTCTCGAGATATGCCAGCTACCCTTTTATCTGCCCACGTCTTGACCTTTAATAACCAAAATATAATAGCATCAATGTCCCATATAGAGAAATAACTCTGCCAACTTTATTAATTAAAAGTTCTTAATCATTATAAAGTATTAAAATGAATAAATAAGTAACCAAAAATATTTAAAAAATTCTTATTTATTGACATAAAATCAATTTTTTTAGTTGTCCAAAATATAATTATGAAGACTGTTATTATTTTAATTTATATCGTCGCATCGGTAAGATCACGTAAGTTACATCAAATTAAATAAATTTAATCGTGTTAAAATTTTACAATAAATTTTTAATTTTTTTTTTATTTCCAGAAAATTGCAACAACATTCTGGATAAACTTATAAATACTCTAAAAAATGATAAAAATATATCAAAAGAAATCGATCCTCTTTTCTTCGGAGAATATAAGTCAAATAATTTTAAGGCAAGTAATATCATTGTTAAGGGGCTAATGTCTTTGAAGAGAAAAGGAAACTGCAGCTGGACCACTGATGAAAAATATAAAAACGTTAGTTTTCATGCAAACTTAATGGCTACGAATCTCAAGATCTTATTAGATTGCCAATTTAGTATACTTCTAACTTCATTTACAGGTTCTGCAGTTTTTACTCTCGAGCAAATAGCAGCAGAAATTATTTTAAGTGTTGTTCTGTTTCCATTGAAACCAAAATTAGAATTATTCGATATAACTAATTTCAAAAGACTTAAAATTGTAAAAGTAACTGGATTTACCACTCCAGTAAATTGGTTAACGAAATTTATTATTGAAAGAAATGTACGGCGCCTTATTCCAAAAATTAAGACTGCAGTTAATAAAAAAGCCACTGTCATCATTAATAGGAACTTAAATGTACTTACTGAATTCATAAAAAATATTCTGTAAATATGTGATGTTTTTACAATAATTAATAAATTTATAATGTTTTAAATAAAAAGTTTTTAATTTAAATTTATTTGTGAATAAAATTTCTTTTTTACTTATTGAAATTTTACCAGTTAGCACGTTTATTTCTTATTTGTTGCAATATCAAGCAAAACATTAATTTTACATACAACCAATGGCAATTTGCAAGACTCTTACATGAGAGCTGAGGCTCGAATTATTGTATGATTCATTTCATATATAGTTTTAAAAAAATGACTGCCAAAATTTCAGTATTATTTATTGATTTTATTTATACAACGGAAATTTTATAACATTTTAAACATGTAAAATTTAAAATCTTCTTTAAACGTTTCCTGGCTACTTTAATATTTCCTATTTGTATTAATTAATCTGTATTTTTTTTTTTTCTTTCAGCTGCACAAACTATTTTCCTTTCTGTTTAATTCTGTAAGTCCGTCACGAATATTTGAATTTCAAATAATAATTATTTCTTTTGAAGAATGTATTTCCTATTGAAAACTTTTTACTACATAAAGTAGTTTAATTTTTCAAAATATATAGTATAACTGCAGTTCTGTAAACTTTAAGACTAGGGTTGCCAGTTACTAAGTTTTAAAATCTGAGACAAAATGAGTTCTTTCCAAAAGATACTGGGATGCTTCAATTCCAGGACATGCAATAGATATGTATTTTTACTTTGCCACTGACAGAAAAACACTTAAAATGTGGAAAAAGATGCTCCATTGTAGGAACAGATTTTACAATAACGTTCTCCTGGTACTAGATGTTAGTCGGAAAAAATCCGGGACGATCCCGGAAAACCGAGACATCTGGTAATCTTAAGACTAAATTTAAAATACACGAAATGATAGGATGACACGTATTATTGTTTGTTGTGTATCACGATACAATAACACATCAAACAATAATATAAAACAATTTATTTCCCTAGCTTTTGCGGTTGTAAAAATTAAATTTTTCTGATACAAGGTTGAGCACATACGAAAGATTTATCGCTAGATAAAAGCGCGGTGGTTTAAACTAGGCGGAATTAATCGTTTTAGTTGCAAGTTACAGTTACAGACATATGTTTACAGTTTATGCTTGGTCTAAATCATGTTTTATTAGTGAGTCGTCACTGAATGCGACGTGTGAAGTATTGTATATATTTTTATAGTTCAGGAATTTTAATCCAATTATTTAAAATAAATAAACTTGCAGAAAATTTGTAAAAATTGCAAAATAAACTATCTAATATTTTGTTTTTAAAATGATTTATTCGTTTTTATTTCGTTTCAGAAACTTTATCATCTTTTGTTATTAAATAAAGACAGTAAAGTGATAAGGTAATAAATTTATGTATCTTGTAAAAAGTCGCTTTCATTTTACACTTTAATTTCGTAAAATCTGTTTTACTTCAGAAAATTTAGGACGTCTGTCATTCGTGTTAACATTTTAACCAAAATGCAGCAATATAAAATAAAATAAATACGTTTTCTCGGAATTGTGAATGAGATGCATGCGATAAGCAAACGTGATACAGTAAAAATCTTAACTGAATTCGTGTACAGTTATTAATCTGATGTTCATTCTCCAGAGATAATTCATTTTAAATTGACGTATTTTGCTTTAAAAAATAATAAAAAATATGAATTGTTCTTAATTTCCGCGGGGTTTAAACAAAATTGAATTTAAAAATAAAATCGAATTGAACAAAAAAATAATATTATTAAAAATAAATAAAAATAAAAAAGAAAAATAGTAGGGGTTTAATTGTTATTACATACTCAACTAATAAACTTTTCTTTAAACCTTTCATAATTAAGTTTTTCTCTTAAATAAGTAAAATTGAATTGCAAAAATCAAATTGAATTTTTCGTAATTGGTTGAAACAGTTTAAAAAATTTCGTATTTATAAATTGAAATATCAAATAATTTGATAAAAAAAAATTAGGCCGAAAAATTGAACATGAAACTATCAATATAATAAATGGATAATAAAACTGTAAAAATAATGTTTTTGAACTTTACGATAAAAGTATAGTTTACTGCTGTGGGGACTCAGGTTTCGCAATCCCTCATCCAAGATCGATTTCAATGTGAGTTAAGGGATTTCATAATGGATATAATAAACACTGACTGTATTGTCTATAATCTATTCATGCCTTGCAATCTATTAATCAATCACATTTTATAGGCTATAGTAGCATATTTAGCATAATTGGTTTTCTGCAAGTTATATTCGCCTATATACTATATTAAAAATTATTTCTTCATATAGTAGAAAATATATAAACAAATTATATATATTGTTAAGATTTTAAGAATTTATTAATCGTTTATAGCAATAAAAACACAATAATACTTTTTAAAACTCGTTTTAAAGCTCTCTGTAATTTTGTAGTTTTTTATTAATGCAATGTATTTACATTAGTATTAAACATCATAGAAGAATTAATTATCAAAATAAAAATTCAATACATTCCATTATTTTTAGTAGTTTATGTTAAAAACTATACAAATTTATTAATTTCTAAATGTAAAACTTGAATGTTTATCCTGATGTATTCTGATTGTTGATGTATCTTACTAAAACAGCTGAGAAAAGTCATTTATTTATAAAGTATTTACTAGACATTAAATGTTTGATTTTAAAATGATTAAAAAAATCAAAATAAGTATTGAGGAAGTTATGTATTTTAAGGAAAATTTGAAGTTTTTTCTTGTTACAATAGACATACAATTTAAAAATAGAAGAATATTTATCAGACAATAGGCCTAAGTGGAAATTTCCTATGTGTGTTATAAAGGTAAATGAAATTCAATATAAGGAAATATCAATATAACAAAAGCTTAATGTATCATGTATCTATATTAGGTAATCTATTTTACATAAAATAAATTTTTTATAAACAAAAATGTAAGAAACATAGCACTTAAATATACAAAAACGAAACAAAATATATTATAGACTATCAATTCTATTATAAATAAAATAAATTAATACCTTGTAGTTCTTTACTCAAAGGTCATTTATCTTTATTTATATACTTTTGATTTTGTCAAATATAAATATATTTATATTTAAAAATACAAAAGACAAAAGCAATGCTGATGGACTTCATCATCAAGCTAAATTGATGTAGCACGTTTTTATATCGTTATTGACGTAGCATGTTTCCTGTCATAAAAGGGAGGAGTTTGACAGCACAGAGAGAAATTTAAAAAAAAAATTATATCATTACTATTGTATCTGATTTTAATTGAATCATATAAAAATAATAATTGAATTTCGACTTAATCTTATATCGAAATTTAATCATGTAATAGGTGACTAAAAATCTGATCAATTTGTAAAGAATATCAGATAATTCAGTTCAGGTTCCTATGAGAATTTTTCGAAAACATTATAACAGTCAAATATATTATTTTTAAAATTTAACAAGTAAGTTTGGCATTACAAAAGTGCAGGGCGAGAATATTTTTTGGCCAGTTTATACTACATTCATTTTCAATTATTTATTTGTAAAATTTCTACTGTAATTTAGCAGTACCTTGACTAATCAATTAAAACGAGAATGTTAATATATTTTCTAAAATATAAATATTTTTTTCCTTATAAAATGCATTCGTTTGCACTAATACATATAATTTATATGAAAATTAAGATGTGTCTTATATTGTAAAGAATATCTTCTTCCGTAAAATAATCGACATGAAAAATATGATGCATTTAATAGAACGAAGTCTTATAAGGCAAAAAATGCGGTACTTATAAATGTAATATGAAATGTCTCCGTTATTTCCTTTCATATAGGTATATGTATTTCGTATATTCAAAATGTATGAAAAATGTAAAGAAGTACTGTACAAGGTCATGTGAATAGTGGAGAATAATGAGAATATAAATAGATTTATTAAATTCGCTTGGCTTGAAAATATGTAGGCCCTATTTAAATTTTTCCTTTATCATCAACTAATATGCGTTATAAATTTTATTAAACACATATATAAAACATTAAAAAAACGACAATTAAAATATTAACTTGTTACTTAATTACTGAAACTAAAGAACAATCGTTATGTTTATTTGCCAGTTAATAATTTGGCTCTATATTCGTTAATTATAAATAAAGATACTATTTTACAAATCTAATGAATACTTTTCTAATTACAGATAACTTTCTTCGACTTGCTGTTATTATAAATTTATATTTTATAGGACTAAGAGTAATAATAAATATAACACTACTAACATTATCTCTGTAATTTACATAGTAATTTCATTAAAACTTTATTTAATAAATAAATATAAGCCAGCTTATTTTTAATTATATATCAAACTAAATTATACTAGTAAAAGACATGCTGTTCCACATGACAATACGTACAAATTTTGTGGTTTATCCATTCTTCCTCAACAATTCTATTAAAATTCATTCGATACTTGCACACAAAACCAGAATTTCTTGAAATAGATTTTCCTTTCGTAGGAAATTCATGCCAAAGATTAAATTAAACATTTCTAAATTTAATCTAAAGAATGATAATAAAAGAGTATTTTTTTAAAAAAATGTAAACACCATTTGATACGATTTTATACTAACAAACGTTTTTTAAAGAGGTTAACTTTCCATCATTGTAAAGTAAAACATAGAGAAAAGAAAAAAGGGTCGTGATAGACTAGACGTGGCCATGACTGGTCAATCGCGACCATTCACAAACAAGTTATATTGTTCGGTCTATTTTATTTTATACGGATGATTGCATTATAGTACATTATATCGGAATTTTCTCTTCCCACACGTAAATTTCCGCTAGGTTAGTCAACAATACAATATTCCTTCCTACTATTATTTAAATTTGATTGTCATTCAATTGATTATTACTTTGTATGATGACCGAAATCACTTGTTTTACAGTTTCACGAGTGATAACAGATAAGAGCACATTTTTAAAGTTTAATAAAATTAAATTCTTGAGCAAATAAATATTATTTTATTAAATAAATTTTTCTTAACACGCATAATATTAAAGAACAAAGTCAAATACATGACTAAGCACATTGAATGGCATATTTGTTCACAAACCGTAGTAAAAACTAGAAAAGTAATTTTAGACTGTTCTTTGATAATACATAATTAAAATTATTTCCTTGTATTTTTTATTATTATTATTATTAATTTCTCAAAAATAGTTACACACCATTGATTTATATTTTAGGTACAAATTTTATTATAATCGAACGTTTTATTTTAAAGTTAACGAAAACTTTTAATAATTTTTATAAATATTTTTCAAACGTTTTAAAACGTTTCTATTATTAAAAAAAAAATTATCTTTTTGATAAGCATTCATTTAATAAAAATATCGAAAATATTGCTACACCAACTTGATAATAATAATAACCATTCTGCGAACTTCGTGTTAAATCTTCTATTATTATATTTTTCTTTTTTTTATTGAGAGAAAACTCTTTTATAGAACTGTATTATAAACTAATATTCCACAGCTTTGAATCACATTACAATTGTATTTACAAGGTCATTATGTTGGCAAAACTGAAATTTCCAGTTTATAAAAAATAATTCGTTGCGGATGGTTCAGGCATTAAATCAAAAAGCTTCCGTTCGCGCTACGCGGCACACAAAATGGCGTAACGAATACACATCAGTTATCGTCAGTTACCGTACTTTATTATCGAAAATGTGCCTTCTTTCACTGGATTAAAGTCTAAATACATTCTTGGTAAGAAGTTTTATTTCTTTAAACTTCGAAAGCTAAAGAATTAATTAGATGTAATGTTAAATAATTAAGAAAATAGAAGAAAATTTTACTTTCATTTACCTTAGTTCTATATATAACCTTGATATACTGTAGTATAGATGACCTGATTTATAAGCAACCTATTTCGCTTGTCAAACTAGTTTTGGGTCTGGTTTAGTCCTATATTTGAATAAAGAATATAATTTTCTCTTTATTTTACTACATAATGTCTGCTTTTTAAGGCAAGTGATCCCTTATTTACATTTCACTTGACTTAATTACAATTCTTAAACATTTAATTTTATAATTTCTTTTATTTCATATTTCTATTCAATTAGTCTAATTAACAGTCAATCCCCTTAGTATTAACTTTTTTATATGTTTAATTCATAATTTAACGCCTCTATGAAAAATTTAACAGTTAAAGTAATTTGATTTTTTGCAATGTTAAATGAATAATTAACTTACGAAACGGAAATGAATAATTATTATATTATTTCGATTTTATTTCAACACGGCACAGATTTAAAATATTAAATTATTTTTAATTGTATAAATTAAAATAATTATTTTTTAGGTAGAAAATTTGGAAATAGTTAACGGTACTGGTCATTAGTATGAGGATTTTAATCATTTTACTATGCCTAGTTACTTCAATTACATCACGTAAGTCATAGATATTTATCATTATTAATATTCACAAAGGTCACCAAATTAACATTTAAATAAATTATAAGCTTATATTTGAATATTTTAATACTTTTATAAGTACAGTCGACCCCCCTATAACACTGTTGATTATTCAGTTTTATATGAATTCCATGTTGTACGAGTCACTTAGATTTTACAAATACGTGATCCGGGCTGTGAACGGCTCACGTATTTGTAAAATCTAAGTGACTCGTACAACATGGAATTCATATAAAACTGAATAATCAACAGTGTTATAGGAGGGGTCGACTTTAATTTTCATTCACTTTCAAAGTCGTAAAATGATTGATATTACAGTGTATTTCAGATAAGATTAACAAAACGTTAAATAAGTTTAGTAAATTATTCGTAAATATGTAATTTTTTCATGAATTAATGTTCATATTTATTTATTTATTCATTTAGAAAACGGTAACGACATTGTGGACAAGCTAGTCAGCGCGCTGAAAACAAATGATTACATATCAAAAGAAATCGATCCAGCTCATTTAGGTGGATACGAATCCGATAATTTCAAGGCTACTAATATAGTTGTAAAAGGTCTGATAAACATGAATAGAATGGGAAATTCTAGTTGGAAAATCGATGATAGTTATGAAAGTATTAATTTGAATGCAAACTTAATGGCGAATGACCTTAAAATTTTATTAGATTACAATTTTAAATTGCTGCTTGTCCCGTTCTCCGGAATTATGAGATTTAATGTGGAGCAGATAGTTGCCGAAATTATTTTAAGCACCAACATACGTCCTATACAACCCAGATTAGATTTATTCAGTATTAACGATGTTCAAGGTTTGAAAATTGAGGAAATAACTGGATTTAAACCTTTAAATTGGTTCGCAAAATTTGTTATGGATCGTGTTGTGCATAGACTTATTCCAAGAGTAAAGACTGTCGTTAACGAGAAAGTTACCGTTATCATTAATGATAATTTACCACTGCTTACCGAGGTTGTAAAGAGTGTCATGTAAATATAGAATTTTTAAATAAATTTATTGTAAAAAATTTGATTTTTTTATAACATTTTCTGTAGTAATTTATTTAAGTATTCCTTAAATACCTCCTACTTCTACGAAGTATATTATTTTATCAGGTGGCAGATTTCTCATTTATTTATTGAAATTCTAAGCATATATTTTTACATTTATCTTACGTAGAAAGTATTAAATTATGATCATATTATATACGTAAAAATATAAAGTATAATTCAACACAAAAGTGAATAACTTCTTGAATTTTAATCGTATACTGTGTAATCAAACGACTATGAAATCTAATTTTTTAAGTGTTCAGTACACAGCATCTTTATATTTTTTATGTAAAATTTTACATAATATCTCTTTCATGCATTTAATATATTTATATTATTAAGTACATAAAACTGACATAAATCAATACAAATATAGCAAGTTTAAAAAAATGTTTAATATTTCCTTATAAATTTGTTGTATTATTTATTCAGATTTTATTGAGAGAATTTAACGCGTAAATTAAGTCATTTTAAAATGCTAACTAAAAAATAATTTTGCACATATTTGTGAAATGTAAGCCTTTAAAACAGAGAAATTTATACTATATCACTACTGTACTATTATGGCAAAGTTCAAAGGTCCATGAAGAAAGTTACACAATAGCAACAAACTCCTTTAAAACATTCAAAATGACAGCGATAAGGTTTATTCAGTTAAGTTTAAGTGACAATTCCATGATACACTGCATACCATTAAAGGGTCAGTTTCTTATTTAATACACAAATAAAATAATAATTTAAAAAAAAATTTATTACATGTTTATTATTAATAATAAATTCAAAACACGAGGGAGATCTGAAGTGCATTTTTATAAAGATAGACGTCACGTTTTTCACACTTCTCTATCTTCACTCACACAACTACAATATTTTGTAAAGTATTTGCAATTAAAAATAGTAATAATAGTAAGAATAGTAAATAGTAATAAATTCGATTTTTCTCTATCTCTCTCAGGCTTGGTTTACAATATTATTTATCATTGTAAATCTAACATTTGCTATAATACTAATGATTTTTATGTAATGTTGAAATAAAGTAATTGTATGTTTAGTAGAATTGTATATTTAGTAGAATAATTGTATGTTTAGTAGAAAGCAAAACGAAATTCAGTATCCCTTTTTCTTTATAAATATTCACGTCACACATTCATTAGAAAACTGTTCGTTATAAAAAATTTCCTAATTTATAGTTCACAATAAATGTTTGTTATCTATAATTTGATATTTGTACCTTATTTTATTAAGAAAAGTTTATTAATATCTGTATTTTACATATTTTCTTTACATTAATTAGATGTATAATTTAATAATTATTTATTTAAATCAAAAGGTAAATTTTATAAAATATAAATCAATGGACAAGCTCAATAAATAAAATATCCAGCAGCGAGTTTCTTAATTTTTCCGGCAACATTTAAAACTACGTGTGACCTATCTATTACGATATTTTACTATAAACCTTTTTATATTATTAATTATTATAAAATGGAAAAAAAAGCTTAATTTTGAGAGTAGGGATGGGTTTTATAAAAAATGTAAATGATAATAACGAATAAAATCGTTATTAAGTCCGAACCTACTCCAGATATGAAGATATGACACACGACCCCCTCGAGCTTTAACAACCGAAATTTAATAGCAGAAATGCCTTTAATACGCAAAATTTCCTGCAAAATGTTAGAAATTTTCGACAAAAAGCACAGGAATTATTTAGCTTCAAACAGGGTGAACAAAATCATACTATAAACTATATATATACACACACACAAATAACCATACATACAGAAAAACCCTGAGAATTTGTTTGCATTTCTCAGCGTTTGAAGGTCTCCTGAGTAGTTCAAAAATGTAAAAATCTTGGGGAGTTATTTTTGACCCCATTTGCCATCCTACTTCCCGATTGCTATACTTTCCCTCCTCTACGGAGGGAAAGTATAGCAATCGGGAAGTAGGAGGAAGTATGGCAATCCAGAGCCGGGAAAGTAAAGAGGAAAGTGCATGAGAAAGATATTTTAACCACGGCATTTGTCTCCGTGGTCCGTCCATTCTACTCCGTTCATGATCAATCCGTTCTACCTGGTAGGCTTATTTTAAATTTATCTATTCGATTTCGCTTTTCATTCGTGCAGTTCAAGTAGTTGGGTATACTCTGTATTGTCTTGGTCGTTCGTATTTTATAATAATACTCTTATGTTATCAGAAATCTGCCTACATAAATTGAGATCTTTCAGGTTACTTTTCAGATATATACACGAGCGAGTAATGTTTATCGAATTAAAAGAAAACCACAATGTCACGAAATACGTCCATGTGAAAACACTTCACCACTTCGTGCTGATTTCATCTCCTCTATAAACTCCCAAACCCTTTGACCGATCTGAACCAAATTCCTCATGGTTACGCTCTGGTATCCGTTGGAAAACGTGGACTACCATAAAACTTGGATCTGTTTTTTTTTCTGATTTCATCCTTTTACCTCCCAACTCCCAAATCTTTTGAACGGTGTGAACAGATTTTGCGTAGTTACTCTCTTTAATCCTCCAAAAAATATACACTATTTTAAAACTCGGATCCTCACTCTTTCTTCTGACTTCATCCGCGCAAACCCTGTCTAACCTTTTGACTGATTTGCTTCAAATTTTGCATAGTTACTCTCTGCCAACCTGCGGGGAACATAACAAGGACAATTCAACCCACTCCTGAGTTCCCGGGCAACACTGGGCATTCATTAGTAGTAGAGGAAAAGGTGGTATTATGGAACACTGCGGGTATTATGGAGCCACCCCATTTCGAACTGATAATAAAGGCGAACTGTAGCGGAATGTGGCTGAACTGAACTAGGCAGACATCCATAGCAAGGGGAAAACCCGTTTTACTTCGGTTAAACGGTTGTCCGCACTTAATCAGCAAATTTGTTTTTTTCAAAATTCGCAAGTTTTGAATGCTAAGTGAATTTAATTATTTTTAAAATATAAATCGTGTAGTTGTAGGTTCACTGGTGCATGTATTCCGTTCCAGAGACTTAGGGGTACATATTAATCTGTGTGATGTT